TTGGGCTTTCCAGGCAGGTGCTTATGCCACTGAGCTATCTTCCTCCTACCTTTGCTTTCTTCTTTGATTTCCCCCCACTCACCTCTCTTCCGTCCTCCCCACCTTCCCCTGAGACTCATCCAGTATTACATGCTAGGCCCCCAGGCCCCCTTGTGACTAATGCTCACCCCTGTTCTCAGAGCGAAAGCAAAGCTGATTGGAATTGGAAATTATGAAAGAGCATCTGCGTTTCGAGAAGATTTCCATGATCTTAGAATATTGAGAAACTTTGTGGTTTTCTCCAATCCAATGGAAAAGAATGAAAGAAGATTGAGAGCGATTAAAAGAAAAGGGCCGCAGGGGCTGGTGAGATGGCTCAGTGGTCTAAAGCATCTACTTAGAACAAGCTTAGCAAAGCACAGGGACCGCGGTTCAATCCCCCAGCACCACATGCCAGCCAGCCCCGCCCCCTGGTGGGCTGAGCTGGCCACACACACACACACACACACACACACATAAATAAATAAATAAATAATAAAAGAAAAGGGCCACAATGTCTTTGTCCAAGTCATCCCAAGGGAAAAGAGACACGAGCGAGAAACCTATGGATTAAAGGTCTGGAGACACAGCAACAGGTGTCAGTGTCCGGCTCTCTCTAGGATCATAATTCAAGCAACCAAAGGGCCAAAAAGTAAAACTTGGTGTTTAGGAGAGAACCGGTTCTTTGAAAGCATGCCAGATGACTGATGTTAGGATTTATGGTGAATTACTTTAAATTTGATAATGGCGTGATGCTTTGAAAACAGTTTGTCTCCTTTAGAGATGCATACCCAAATCCTCATGGATGCTGTGCTACCTGAGATCTGTGGCACAATTATATGGTGAGGGCAGAGGAGAAAAAACGGAGCAAAACAAAAATGCCATTTTAAGAAGTTAGTGGAGGTATAAACGAAATAGGATTGAAGACTGGAGTTAGCAATAGAAACTAGATGAAGGCTACGTAGGAATTACGCGATTTCCTCCATCTTTTTAAAAAATCATTACTTATTTATTTACTACAGGGTCTCACAAATTCCCCATCTTTGTATGTATGAACTTGTTTAATAAATTATGGGGTTTTTGTATTTTTTTGTGGAATCAGAGATTGAACTCAGGCCCTTGCGCTTGCCAGGGAAGCGCTTATTCTACTGAGCCATCTCCCCAGCCCCAATAAATTATTTTTTAGAAGAAAGGGGCATCACACTCTGATTTCCTGGGACCTCTTCTTTGGTGTTAGAAGGAGACTGGGGAGAAGGAAAGGAGAAGGGAAAGATGAGCGTGGCGCTTGCACCTGTAATTTGGAAGCGGACAGGGTCTGGCTAAGGGACCCGAGGGGACAAAAGACAGCACAGGTGTGCAGGAAAAGAGAAAATGGGGAAGGGAAATGGGCCATTGTTTTCTTCTTTCCCTTTTAGACTTTTTTTTTTTTCCATTTTCTATTTATGAAAAATCATCCTGGGAATTTAGCAACAAAGATTCTCAGGCACCAAGCCTCAAAATTCCAACATAGTTAGCAGGGCCCCCGAGTTTACATTTTCCACACGTCCTAGGTGAGCAGGAGGTCTACCTAGATCTCTCCAGGAGCGCCAGAACCCAGCTCCTGTGAGTGACTTGGGATGCTTGTCACTGACCTTGATATTGCCAGACTGTGAGCCAGCCACTCTGCCTGGCAAAGCCTCCGTGACAGCTGTCCACTGACTCAAGGCAGGAAAAAATAAAGGCGATGGGAGATTATGCAAAGGAAGCTGCGTATTGATTTCCTTTAATGCATCTGTGGGAATATGCAAATGTGGAAGGTCTTCTGAGTAGAGAAAGAAATTCAGCCGGCTCCAGCCTGAAAGCCTTCTCCCCTCTCACGGGCTGCCCGATGATCTCTGATTCTACATTGAACAGCCTTCTGATTTGTACTGAGAGGAAATTCAAAAACACTTGATGGCTACCACCAGTGACGTAGTTCTTCCCATGGTGCTACCTTTTATCAACAATTTTAATAAATTGATCTTCTGCCTTCCAAGTGTTCAGAGAGCCTTTGTGTGGAAGAATTAGGTCACTAAGCTCTGATTACCCAACAGCAAATGACTAAATTTAAGCGTTAGGCATGGGTAAGGTGATGAATCAGCTTGGATTTGAGCTGGAACTACCAGAACAGTTTTATAGTTTATAACTAGATGTTCCCCCAAAGCCTCACAGGTGGGGACTCGGGGAGGTGATTTAGGATGATTTGGGGTGCAATACCCATCAGCGGTTTAGAGGACTTTTGAGTTTATAGCTAAACGTGATATTGATGTCAGGCACGATGGTACTCACCTGTAATCTGAGCACTTGAGAAGCTGAAGCAGGAGGAGTGCCTCAAGTTCAAGGCCACCCTAGGCTACATAGTGAGCTTAAGCATAGCCTGAATTATAGAGTGAGGCCCCATCCCAAAAAACAAAACTTAAATGTTACGTTGGGGGGTGAAATTGGGTTGGATGAGGTGGGTCACTGGAGTGTAGCCTGGAAGGGTCTCTCCTTCCCTCCTCCGGTGGTCTCTCACTTCCAGTGCCATGCTCTGAGCTGCTTCTCCTCTTCCAGGTCCCTCTGCCATGCCACCATGCCTTGGAGCCAGCTGACTATGAACTGAAACCTCTACAAACTGTGAGCTAAATAAACTGTTCCTAGGGCCAGCCAAATAGCTCAGCAGACTAAAGTGCCTGCAAGCAGGCACAGGGGCTGGGGGTTCAATCCCCAGGCCTGCCATGCTGGCCCTGCCCCCAGAGCACACTGAGATGGCAACTGAGACTAGGTGTGGTGGCACACGCCTGTAATCCCAGCTCTTGGGAGGCTGTAAACAGGTGGATCACTACGAGTCCAATCTAGTAGTAAGACCCTGAACACCCTGTAGACCTTTGCCTAAAAAATACAAATAAATAAATAAATAAACCGTTCCTCCTTACAATTGTGGATGTCAGGTAATCTGTCCCAGCGATGAGAAAGGAATTAAGATGAACAATAACCCTGGGCCGAGGCATCGCCCGTTAGAGATAATGACATAACCCTTCGCCTGCAGTTTCTTGGCCACATGTCTCAGAACATAAGATCAGAAATTAGGTGGAAGCAGCCTAACTCAGAAAGGTCAACATCGCACAGTTTCTCTTACATGAGAAACCAACCAACCAAATTAATTAATTTAGATAGAGGAGAGATGACAGGAAGCTGGAAAGCAGACTTGTGGAAAGGAAAAGGAGACTAGGGGACGGGGGAGAAATGGAGAAGGGAAGGTAAGAGGGAAATGAGCAGGATGGGTTAAGGGTGTGTACCGCTTTGCCAGAACGACCCCCACCACCCCCATTACTAACATGCTCTAATAAGAAAAATTAAATTAAAAAGGAAACTCTGACCAAGTAACCAGCAGGCCGCCCTCCTCACTACAACCCTGTGATGCCCAAGCGGTGTAAGATCCTAAGACATGCCAGGTTCAAGAAAGAAGCTTTCAGGTACACATAAGGCAGTCTGCAGGTCTGAGGCCTTCCTTGCTGTTGACGATGTCACCAGACTCTGTAGTCTTTCTCTCTGATATACAGAAGTGAAGGGACGAGTGCAAAAATTGGGCCAGCTGTGAAAAGTCAGACTTGGGCAGAGCATGGTGCGACATGCCTGAAATTCCCGCACTCTGCAGGCTGAGGCAGGAAGCTGAGGCAAAAAAAAAATCACCATGAGTTCAAGGCGAGCCTACATATTGCATAACAAGACCTTGCTTCAATCTCCCCCCCAAAAAAAAGTCAACCTCAGTTGTCCAGTTTAAAGCAGTCTCCTTCCTTGTCCCATCACCCATCCCACCCAGTGACACCAGCTGGAAGTTAGAGATAGATTCCTGCCTGTAACCATGTGGCACAACCCTGACCTCAAAATAAAACTCCCCAGGGAATGCAGGCATCCAAGGAAGCAGGCATTGCCGGCTGACTACAGGGTCAGAAAGTCACATGGTGCTCTTGCCAGAACCTCACTAAGGCACAGGCCACGTGGGGACAGAAGGTGACCAGAGAGACCTTTCAGTGAAGCCTAGGCACAAACCTCTCTGCACAGCGCCTTGGCCTGAGTGGCAGAAGTGACTGGCTCACTTGTCTGCTTCCTTTAAAGATAGGAGAAACAGCCCGGAGTCGCGGCGCAGGGCTGTAGCCCTAGCAGTTGGGAGGCAGAGACACAGGTAAGCTCAAGTCCAGCCTGGGCTACAAGGTGAGCCCAAAGCCCAGACCAAACTACACAGTGAGACCCTGTCTCAAAAAGCGTGCAAACATTGGGGCCCGGGAGATAGCTCAGCGGCATAAGCACCTGCCTGTCAAGTGCAAGGCCCTGAGCTCAATCCCCAGTACAAAAAAAAACGAAACGAGAAATACAAGCACCCGGGCAGAGGACATCAAGAGTCTGGTGAAAACTGGGCTCAGGATAACTAAAAAAATATGCAGTGTTTAGTGAGTACAGCGTTCTGCAGGGAATTAGTTTGAGAGTAGGAAGAGGATTCTGTGGATCGGCTCAGAAGAGAGAACAGTGAGGATGGGCTGGGGCAGCTGTGTGCACAGAAGTATGAACACGTGGCAGGGCCGCCCCGCAGGAGAGAAGGCCAAAGGGAGAGGCCCCGCCAGGGCTCTGCGAAGTTGGCGGCCGGCCGGGGAGGAGGAAAAGGTAAGGTACAGGGGTACCCGTGGAGAAGGGCACGCCCCCTAGTGTCCAACCTGAGCCATAGCCCCGCCCCTCAATCTTTGAAGCCTAGCTCGGTAGTCCTCGAAGGCCCCACCCTCCGGCACCCCGCGAAGCCCCGCCCCGCAGCCCGAGAAGCCCCGCCCCACAGCCCGAGAAGCCCCGCCCCGCAGCCCGAGAAGCCTCGCCCCACAGCCCGAGAAGCCCTAGGTCCTTTTCTTCTCGCGGCCCTATAGTTCCTACTGTGGCGCGCGGTCGGAAAGTCTAAGCTGACGGACCGTGGCCGGCGATGGGCGCGGGGTGAGTGGGGAGGCCGGGCTGCCGGGGCTGTTTTTCTTTCCCGTCGGTTCTCTTTGTGAAAAGCTTGGGAGCGAAGAACAGAGCAGGGCCTGCGCCAGGCCTTCTCGCCGCCTCGGGAGTCGCCCCGCGCCGTCTCGGGGCGCCGGTCCCGGGGCCTGCCCCCGGCTCCCCCGTCCCGCGGCCTCTCCAGCTCCCGTGCGCAACTCGCCCTGGCCCCCTGCCCTGGCGCGCTCCTTCCCAGGAGAGATTTTCAGGTCTCAAATGCCTTTGACTGATTTTAAAGGTAAAAGCACTTCCTTCAGTTGCGATCCAAATGTAGGAATTGTGTGTTTCTAGGCTGGACGTTTAGAAGGGAAGCTGTCTCGGCGCCGGGAAGCTCCCGAGGCAAGTCAGCTGGCAGGGAGCCGTGGACGGAGGGCTACCGCGGGAAACTCCTGACGCTCTGTATTTCAGTCAACTCCAGAGAAGAACTGTGTGTACCTGATGGAGACTTAGCATTCATTTTAGGGGACTTGGCGTTTGATGCGAAGTCGGGCAACTAAGATTTATCCCCGGGCGTAGGCTGTTCTTGAGAAGGAGCATCCCCAGCTGTCTGACACACTTTAAGCAATACAAATGGGAAAGGGTAGGGCTTGAGGCAGGTAGGGAAACGTGAGGCCCAGATACCATCCAAGTGAGGAATGCATGGTGTTCTAACAAAATTACTAGACGGGTGGGCCGGGATTTTTATTTGGCTTTATTTTTAATTAGGCCGAGACTGCTGGAATGCGCCTTTAAAACATTTAGTTCCCTCTTTAACCCTGTGCTTACAACATGACTGAGGACTAAATTGTTTTCCCATAAATCTGTCACTGTTGAGATGCATTCATCTGTAGGAAGAGCCAGCTGGAGGTGGCTTCAAGAGGCAAGAAGACAGTCAGGGCCACCGATGTCAGTCAGTGTTGACAGCAAGTTTCGTGGGCGCCGGAAGTGCTTTCTCAGCTCTTAATCTAGGTCTCTGTGAAAATTATCTCCTTGTAATAGGCGCAGAACGCACTCACCGTAATATTTGTCTTTTAAAAACGAAGACTTCATGCGTGTATGGTAGAACCGCAGGAGCTGAATAAACTACCTGGTCGCAGGTGTAGGAATCTCTGATAATCTCAGCCTTGAAGGAAGAGAAAGAAATGTGCTTCTGCTGACCAGAATAAAAATCTGTAGCATATTTTACTAAGGAGTTACTGTTATACAATGTCCGATGGTTCACTGGACGTTATCAAGTATTTGTAGAGCATCAACTAGGTGCCTGTTACTCTGGTAAGTTCAGAGGAGACACTGATGGCTGAAATCAGACCTGGGCCCTGTCTTTGGTGTGTGGAACAGGCCTTCACATCTTGAACAAGTTTAGCACAGAAATAAAGACTGAGTAGACAAAATATTACGAAGTCAATACACCTTAGCTCATGCATCTTACTGTAGAAGATACGCAAGTTCTCAGAGCCTGTTAATTTTGACTTTGGATACAATTGTAACAAGCTTAATTACCTGGCTTTCCACCCCAGGGTGGCCACAACTCAGCAAATCAAGAAAAAGAATGGTTACGGAGATTAGTGAGAAAAGTGGAAGGCATACTTAAGGGCTACAAATTAGAATCCAAGTTAGAAGGCAGCACAACAGAACAGACAGCAGAGCCCTCCCGTGTAAGGCATTGTTTCTCTGTGTGTTCTATACATTTGTTCCCTGAGACCTTAACAGCAATTATGTAAGAAGGGTTAAATGGAAACAGAATTAGTAAGTTAGACTTTGCTGTAGAACTTCTTAGAATCTTTCGTAAGGTTTGAACTCATTTTTCTTGAGTGTCTCTCCAGAGCAGTGTTCTGCAGCCCACACTCACAGTGCTGGACAGCGCAGGATTGATATTCGGAGTGACAATGCCAGGTCATTTGAAGACAGTGAATTATGTTTGGCATCCATGTTTAATGAGACAGGAGGATTACATATTTTAATTTTTATCAAAATATTAAATATTTTGGACTTTTTAGGGGTCAGAAATTCTTATCTCTGATTTCACATATCCAACATGTGAGACATTACTGTTTTTGAAATGTATCTATGGCCATTGTATGATAAAAGGCTTTTCTTACTTGACCTGAGTCCCTAACACCTTCTTATAACATTGTTTCCATGAACCGCTATGTTCTGGGCTCTCAGCAACCTATTTAGAAATGGAATTTGAGAATATCACACATTTGGATTGGAACACCATACCAACCAACAGTCTGATTATTGTTCAATGATTTAGGGTGTTTTTTCTCTTTGGGAGTGGTTTGGTTGGTTTTTGTTTTTGAAACATGGTCTTGCTGTGTAGTTCAGGCTGGCCTTGAACTCAACAGTGATCCTCCTGCCTCAGCCTCTTTAGTGCTGGGATCACAGGTGTGTGCCACCATGCCTGGCTATTGCTGAATGTTTTAAATGAATTCCAAAAAAATTAATTAGTGAATGTTAAATTTCTAACTTATATCCAGCTGGACTCTTGATCTTTTTATTTATTTATTACTTTTTTTTTGTATGAATATTGCACTCAGGACCTTGCACTTGCCAGGCAGGCACTTAAGCTCCTAAGCTATCTCCCCAGCTCTCCACTTGGAATCTTTTCACTTGGAAGCAGTGTACACTTATCCTGTGACCTGCTTTTCTTGTTACTAATACTTTATACAAATATTTGTATATCTGTGTCATTTATATTACATAATATTTCTATTGTGTCAGTACATTATAGTTTAATAGTAGAGTAGCAAGAACTATAATCCCATAAACAGATCTATGTATCTGTGAACTTTTTCCATTATTTTTGAGCAGAAATGTTTTTCATGCTAGTTTTTTTGTTTTGTTTTGTTTTGTTTTTGTTTGTTTTTCCCTTTGGAAAGAAGATTTGGATTTCAATGAGATTGAACACAGGGCCTTGTGCTTATTAGGCAAGAACTCTACCACCATGCTATATCAAAAGCTCTTTCTTCAATTTTATTTTGAGACAAGAGTCACTGAGTTACCCACTCTTGGCTTGAACTAATACTGCTGTGTTGATTACAGTGCTGGTGGTGGCAAAGAAAAGAATGGACAATTTCAGATACTGTGCAGTGGCACCACCAGGCGGTAACAGAAATGTCGTTCGGTAAATTTAGTGTTGGAGAGGTGGTGTAGGTATGATTATTGTACTAAGTTGTGTAAAAATGAAAAATATAAAAGTCAAGGACTATCTGAATTTAGCTTTTTCAGTGAAAATGCTTATGGTGGCCCCTTGTTCGTGGCCAAGTAGTGAATGGTTCTGGAATGGTCCTCGCTTCTTTGCAACTAAATTCTCTGCAGATTGCCTTCTCTTGTAAAAGTGTTTACTTGTAGTTATTTCTGAGAAAATGCTTAAAATCACGGTGAACCACTGTTTCCCTTCCTGTAACAGGTAAGGCCTTTTTATTCTCCACAGCATTTCTCTGCTCGTAGCTGCCTCTTTGCAGTCTGGTTGGGAGCACTGGAGTGGTCTTCACCATGCCGACGGTGGTGGTAATGGACGTGTCCCTTTCCATGACCCGCCCCGTGTCTGTCGAGGGGTCTGAGGAGTACCAGCGCAAGCACTTAGCAGCCCATGGTCTGACGATGCTGTTTGAGCACATGGCCACAAATTACAAGCTTGAATTTACAGCCCTGGTGGTTTTTTCATCGCTCTGGGAGTTGATGGTTCCCTTCACAAGAGATTATAACACCCTGCAGGTACAAAGTAAAATACGTTCTTGTTTTACAAAGCCCCAAAACTATATTATAATGTTACACTGAACTTGTAGACTTGGAATTATTTAAGAATAAGTATATGGGTACTGATATGTATAACTGTAAAGCAAGATCTACAACTAGTAAATGTTTTGTCTTTTTATGGCAGAGTTGTGAGGTGGGGCTTTTGCTGCTTTATTTTTTGGTTTTTGGAACTTCTCTATAGAAGGGAAAGCATCTTAGGATGCAGTATTCTGTTTCTAAAATTTAGCATCTTTAGATTCAACACTACTTTTTTTTCTGCCTTCTCATAAAACTTGGGAAAATGAAAAATATCTTTCCTTTATATTAAAAAAAGGGCCTTATTTCTAGAGCACTTCAAAACAGTATTACTCTCCAACAAGGAGCTTTGGTGTATGGAAACCAAGAATTCATCATTTTTAAACCTTGATTGGGCTGGGCATGGGGGTGCCCGCCTGTAATCCTGGCACTGAGAAGGCGGAGGCAAAAGGATCACTATGAGGCCATCCTGAGCTACATAGTGAAATCCTGGCTCAAAACAACAAAACCAAAAACCTTGATTGGTAGGTATTCTCTTCCCAGGGTGTTTTCTGTGATGTGCCAAAGAATTTAATTTCTGGTACCTCAAAATCGTTCTTTCCAGCAGCGCTTATCACAGTGCTTTACTAAGGGCAAGCAGCCAGTGTTTGTGAGGTTAAGCTGCAGTTTCATAATCATTAGGCAATTTAGAAACCCAGGGTAGTTTGAAGTTTTAAAGCTAGTAAGTATACATTTTTGCTACAGCATTCTGTTCAAACAAACTAAAAAAAAAAAAAAAAAAAATTAAGGCTGGGTATGGCAGCACATGCGTGTAATCCTCACATGGACTGGGAGACTGAGGCAGGAGTGAGTTCTCTACCTGGGCAACTTGGCAACTTCAATGTTAGCCTGCACTAGTTAGTGACACCCTATTTCCCAAAGCAAAACAAAAGAACGAAGAAAACTAGTGCAGTTTTTGGAAAAAAAGCTTATTTTATTTGTTTCCTCTTGTTTTGGGGGTTGGGGCCTCAGTTGTAGACTAATGTGTTTGCTTGTTTGAAACTCACTGTCCTCCTGCCTCAGTCTTCCATGAAGCTGAGATTCCAGGTATGTACCAGTGAACCCAGCTTGCACTGGCTTTCTTATCAGTGACTAAGCTAAGGATTTCTGCTGTCCTGTCCTTCTGAAATAGAAAGTTGCAACATAAAGAATGAGGGGTAATGATTAAGCCTGGGAGCCTTGCAGTCGGTCTGCATGGGTGGAAATCCAGGCTCTGCTCTCTGGGTATGAGGCCCGGGAAAGCTATTCATCTTTGTGTACTTGAGTTTCCTCAATCAAAGAAGGTTAATAATGTGATGGTGAAATCCTTGTAAAGGGCCTAGAATGGTGTTCAGGACACAGTAAATACTCAATAATTTTGCCATTATTTTTGTGGTATGTTTTAAGCTCTTCAGTATTTTCCTTCAGGGTCCCCTTTAAGGATAGAAACTTGGAGAAATGTTCACTGTCACTTAATAGGATGGAGCAGAAGAAGCTCACCCAATTATCCTTTATAATTGAACAAGTTTGGTTTACTGGTTTTCTTTAAGAACCTATGTTTTGGACTCTCAAACTCAGTGTCCCCTGTGTTACATCCAATCTTTGAATAGTTTGTGTTGTTTTCTAATAAAACAATAAAGAATAATAACTTTATTTTTTACTTGAAAAGGAAGCACTAAGCAATATGGATGATTACGACAAAACTTGCCTGGAGTCAGCATTAGTTGGTGTTTGCAACATTGTACAGCAAGAATGGGGTGGTGCAATTCCTTGCCAGGTAAAGATCAATTCTTTCTTGTTGCCCGAAGTTAAAAACCTTAATCACCATGGTGCTTTGATTTTCTTCAGGCTGCAACACAGCAAGCATTATAACTTCCACAAACTACATTTTACACTAGTGGTGTCATTTTTAAAGAAGGTACTAAGTCACTCTAATCTTATCACACTAATCTAAATCACACTAATGTGCTCAGAAAGCAGCAAAATTATGCCATAAGGAAGGCATCTTCCTAGTAAATTGACTTACCGCAAATGGGTGATGCCTGCAGAAGACAAAGGGCCCACAGTAGAATTTGAGAACTGCATGCTCTGGAAGGAGTGATTGTAATTTTGAGCTACAGAATTATAAACACCAGCACGGTACGTTTGTCTTCATTATCTAAGGTAACGGTATTCAGCCACTTTTTACCCCTCTGACCTCTCTGTCTAAAGGTAAGATTATGAATGTCACAGAAGCTGTTACTCTTTACGTAGAGTTCGCAGTGGGTCCAAATTAGCATCAAATCAGCAGCGTAGCAGCAGAAAAGAATGGGGAGTTTGCTGTAAATAGGTGCTTTGGGAACAAGTACTATAGTCAGGAGGAGAAAACAAATACTGCTAAAAGGAAAATCATAAGAGTCTGCAACAGTATTAGCAGACTTTCTTTATTGTAGGCTTCCCTGTGGCAGTTACTCAACTCTGCTCTTACAGGATGAAAATAGCCGTGGTTAATAAGTAAGTGAGTGGGTGTTCAAACAAAACTTTCTCCGCAAACCCAGGCATGGGGCTAGGATTTGGTCTGTGGGCCATAATTTGCTGTTGCTTGGCGCATGACTTTTTTTATGGGAAAAACACAGGATTTTGCAGTAATGTCAGTTGTGTCACCTATATTTGTTCTTTAATCAAAAATAAGATTAAAGCTATTAGACTGGGGAAGTAGCTCAGTGGTGTAAGCGTTTGCCTGGCAGATACGAGGACCCAAGTTTAATCGTGGTGCCACATGCTGTGCTGGCCCCAGAGCCCTGGGTATGCCTCGAAACCAGGAATCGTGGCACATGCCCATCATCCCAGCACTGGGGAGGCTGAGGCAGGAGGATCACTACGAGTCTGAACTGCGTAGCAAAGCCCTATATCAAATAAATTGAAAATTTATTTATTATATTTATTTATTATTATTTATTTATTTATTTTTATGTATTTAGTATAAGGTCTACAAGGTCTCACTATGTAGATCAGACTTGTAGTGATTTTCCTGTTTGCAGCCTCCCAAGCACTAGGATTACAGGCATGTGCCACCACACCCAGTCTCAGTGGCCGTCTCAGCACACCCCAGGGGCAGGACCAGCACGGCACAACAGGGATCCAACCCTAGCCACTGCCCTCTGCCTAAGCAGGCGCTTTAGTCCACTGAGCTATCTGACAGGCCCATAAATTAAAAATTTTAAAAATAAGATTGTTATCACCTCAGAAAGAGGGAGGGGTATGGACTGATTCAAAAGAAGTGAGAAAGAATGTAGGAAATAGTAGCTAGGACTGTTTACCTGGGTTAGAGAGATAGTTACTTATGGAGATGTAGTCATCAAAACTGTGCACTAAAAAGTAAATTTAGAGGTTTTTTCTGTTTGTTTTTGGAACTGGGAATTGAAACTCGGGACCTTGCACTGGCCAGGCAGGCACCATACCTCTGAGCTATATCCCTGGCAAAAAAGACTAAATTTTAAAGGATTTTTTCCTTATTGTGAAAACTATTGTTTTATAAAATATAAACTCTTGGGTCAAGAAGACCTTGACCTACTACTAAGGTTAAATCACAAAAATATACAGAATAAATGAAACTGGGGTCAGTATCTTCTAGAACTGGTAGCTACTAGGGAGCAGTTTATTTGCTCTTTCTAATGTGGTCTTAGTGGAAAAATTCAGGGAAAAAAATTTAAGAGCTAGATCTTCTGTGCTATGCAGTCTTACACCTTTGATGATTTTTTTTTTTCCTTTGAAAAAAACAATCTGAATTTGTTGTGAATTGGTCCGGAAGCGAGTCCCTGATTGGGCTGAGACTTGACAAGTGGCTCAGACCCAAGACATTGTGATTATTAAAACCAGTTAGAATCATATTTCTATAAACTGAGAAATTGTTAAATTGTGACTTTTAGATAAATCAGCTGTGTCTTCATTATCTCGTAAAGTCTGTCCCATCTTAACATGACACAAAATCCTTTATCATCATGTAGCACCTGCGAAAGCTAGTGTCAGAAGAAAGTCTCTCTAGAGCAGTTGGTGGTGCCCTCAAAGGGAGTTGTAGTCAGTTGATCATCTTCCCGAAAGACGAGGCCGCTCAGAGGCCCGCCCCTGAGCAGCTGGGCTCTGGCCCAGGTGCCAACCTGGGTCCCTCTTGTGGTGCAGCACCTGATGCCTCTTAGTGGCTTGTTAGGGTCAGGTTATGGCACTAGGCAAAGAAAGCGAAAGTAATCCTCCCCTGGGATGCAGATAAATCTTTGCCCCACAGGATTGCCCTACAGCAGTGAAGAAAAAGAAGACAGTTTTGCAGTTGCCATCTGTTGTTGGTGTATTTTAGACTCTTTTAAAAATTTTTGACAATTCTTGGGATTGAACCCAAGGCCACTCTACCACTGAGTTTCATCTCTTGCCTTTAATTTTTTTTTTTTTTTTTTTTTTAGGATAGTGTCTCACTAAATTGTTCACACTGCCCTTGAACTTGACATCTCTACCTCAGCCTCCTGAATAGCTGGGATTAACAGGCATGTGCCACCACACCTAGCTCTTAAATATGCATTTTTTAAAAAGATCATATGTTTTACTAAATGTCTCTTATAGTTGTCATTTTAGCTAACTATGGATAGAATTTGCCGTCTTTAAAAATAAACTTTGCAAAAAAAAGACAACTGAGACAGCAAGTAAAGTAGCCCTTTGCAAATAAAATAAAGTGGCAAAGTTCAAACTTAGGGCACTTCCAAGGAACAGATGTGAAGTAAGTTATGCTATTTTTGCATGGATGCCTTAAATACTCCTTCTTTAAAAGACAGGGTTCTAGTTTTAATACAATTAAGTAAAATTGGAAGTGTTCAGAGGAAGATCATTGACATTTAAGGAAATAGAATTAAATGTGAGGATTTTAAACATGGTTTACTGAATTGATAATGCATACGCTCAAGTAACCACTGCTACAGGAAGATAAGAACGTTCCCATCGTGTCTTCTAGCAGGGACAGCATTGTGGAGTTGCTCTACATGTGTAACTGATCATATAAACCTGCTCTCCTTGCACACAGGTGGTTCTGGTGACCGATGGCTGTCTTGGCATTGGTAGAGGGTCACTGCGACATTCTCTGGCTACTCACAACCAAAGGAGTGAGAACAACAGATTTCCACTGCCTTTCCCTTTCCCATCCAAGTTGTACATCATGTGCATGGCAAATTTGGAGGAGGTAATACCTTTTCCTAAGATTTTTCAGTTTAAACCTTAGGGCTCCAGTTTCTGTTCTATTGGTGCTTTATTGTGTGTGCTGTAACACTGTGGTCCTTGCTGTCATCGGGGGCTGCTGTCTTTCTGTTGGACAGCTCCCGGTCTGAAGTGCTCTTTGGCATTTCAGAGTGTGACCCCATCTTGAGATTACTGCTGGAACTGTTATCCATCCTGCTAAAGGGTCATGAAGGGTTGACACTTTTTGGCGTTAGTTGTTTCTCTAATTCAGAAACTCTTATCTCTGTTCCACCAGAAATGTTGAGAGAGGTGTACTTTGATTTTTTTTCTTTTTTTGGTAAGGTGACATTCCTCTGCGGTATTTAACACTGAACTTTCTGGTTTTCCCATTTACTCAGGAAGTGAATTTGTCTTTCCTCACATCAATGTTTCTTTCTGTAAAATGTCGATAATGGTTCTTGCCGAAAGGTGTTAGAAACACAATGGAGGGAAGATGCTGGGTAAATACTACCTGGTTTCTGGGAATCTTTGCTAAATAACTTGGGGATGAACTCTATGCTGCCATTTTATTGAACATTCCCCTTGGTAACTTTGAGTGTGAGTGTCACTTATTTCTGTCTGGAGTCAGCTGTGAAGAAAAGCATCTCAGCCATTTCTTGCCTGTGTTGTCGCGGTGGCTGTGACCCCGCGTGCTGGTAATGGCCTAGTAATTGTTACACTTTTAAAGTAGGTGTCTCTTGCTTTGTAGCTTCAGAGCACGGATTCCTTGGAATGCCTTGAACGTCTCATAGACTTAAACAATGGTGAAGGGCAGATTTTTACTATTGATGGCCCCCTGTGCTTGAAAAATGTACAGTCTATGTTTGGGTAAGTATGTGCTCTATTTTTTTTTTCTTTCTTTCTAATCCAGTGTCATAATTTGACAGTTTCTAATTATTATTTCATTTTCCCCAAATTGTCTATGTCTCAGATAAAATGATTAGTAATAGAGATTTTTGAAAGTTCACTCTCTTTTAAATTAACCCTGATTAAATATGTGATGTCTATAGATACTGACTTTCTTACTATAACTTAGCAATTTCAAAGATTACCTTATTTTTGGGCTTTTCAGAATTAAAATTTCCTCACTAAAAAATATCAGATTATATTATTTCACAAGCAGTCAGATTTAGTTTTGAAGGCAAAACAAACTTTTCATCTTCATTATTTTCCTAGCCAGGTGTGATAGTACACACCTATAATCCCAGCATTCTGGAGGCTGAGGCAGGAAGATTGCTGTGAGTTCAAGGCCAGCCTGGGGTACACAGTGAGATCAAGGAAAGCTTGAACTACCTAAGGAGACCTTGTCTCAAAAAAACAAAACAAAAAAGATGACTTTTCTATGTATCATACTACTCTTTGTATAACAATTAATCATCATATCCTAGAAAGCTGATAGACCTGGCATACACACCTTTCCACGCTGTTCTCAAGTGTGGCCACCTAACCGCTGACGTACAAGTGTTCCCCAGGCCAGAACCTTTTGTTGTGGATGAAGAGATTGATCCTATCCCTAAAGTCATTAATACAGGTAATTTGATTTTTAGAACTTGCTTCCTAGTTTCTCTATTACTTTTACTTTCTTGTGACTTTTACTTTCTTCATCAACTAGGATGATTTAAAAGAATCTCATATTCTGATGCTAGGGTGCTAGTGTCCTTAGCACTTTGGATTTGTGGATGTATTGCTTAGAGGGTGGCAGATTATTGATCCTTCATGGTGATTATGAATTAACCTCCAGTCCTCAGTCATCATTAGTGCATATCGCTGCAGTTGGAAATCATGGCCAGATTACTAGCGTTGACCTCCTTGAGGTGATTCTTCATAGAGATACTGAGATGCATTAGCATCTAACTGAATTCCTGTGTGAAGGAAGGGCTGTCGTCTAGACTTGCTCTGTGACTCTTACCGTGTGACTCTGGAAAGACTTCCCCAGTTTTTGTTTTGCTTTATTTTGGTATTTTTTTGTCTTTTTGAGACAGGGTTTCTCTGCGTGATTCAGGCTGACCTTGAATTCACTTTGTACCCCAGGCTGACCTCAAGCTCACAGTGATCCTCCTGCCTCAGCCTCATGAGTGCTGGGATTACAGGCGTGTATCATCATGCCGGGCTGTACTTCCCCAGTCTCTATTGACTGGGTGGATGGACTCAACCAGATGATCCTTGAGCTCTGAGTTATATATTTCACTCTTCCAAACTTACTGCTTTTATTACAACTAAAAGAAAGCAGGGCTGGTGAGATGGCTCAGCGGTCTAAAGCACCTACTTAGAACAAGCTTAGCAAAGCACAGGGACTGCGGTTCAATCCCCCAGCACCACATGCCAGCCAGCCCCGCCCCCTGGTGGGCTGAGCTGGCCACACACACACACACACACACACACAAATAAATAATAAATAAAAACTGTTCCTGGGAATTTCTCTTAAAAAAAAAAAAGAAAGCAGTGTGTGCTGCCTTTCCCTGGTCCCTCTTGCTGGTACCCTGCTCAGCTGGGATGGACAGCACCCGTGCTTAGCTGAGACTGGCAATGCAGAGTCAGGAATGGCAAGGAGTAGAGAGGAGAGTTGTCTCCTGTTGACAGGTGAACCCCTTGAGTGCAATGTCTTAGGCTAGGTATGCCTTTCAGTCACTGTTCCAGCCTCAGTGCCCAGTGTAACGTCCAACACGTCACAGGTGCTCAGTAAGTAACTTAGATGTGCAGTGAGTGTTCGCTGTTTTGGGTCTAGAGAATTTAGAATGAGGATGGCTTTTTGGGTTTACACTCTTAGCTGTTGGCTACCTGGAAGCAGAGCACCCGTCTCTTTCCATCTGGACAATGCAGCAGTACATTAAGCTGCACCCAGCGTTTGTTGCCTTCAGACCAGTTCAATTCCTCTCCATCCTTTGACGAGTAATGTGAATAAGCCATTTCTTTTTGGTATAAACTTTAGTCCATGAGCTTTGTTATAGCTTATATTTAAACCACTAAAGATATAGGAGGTCTTTTTCCACTCAGTGAAAACTATCTACCTGCTTGTCCTGATTCATCTGTTACTCACCTAGGGGAGGTCACAAGAACAGATTGCAGATAAATGATGTGCTTGCTCCAGTTCTGATGTTTGAAACTGTTGTGATAGTATTGCTTAGAAGAAAGATTAAGAAACAATTGAATGAAATATAGGTGTTTCGTTTATGATGAGTAATGAGTTATTCTCTTATTCTTTATAATTTTTATTGATTTTCAAGTTACTGTGTTAATTGTATGATTGGAAGAAATTTTAAAGAGAATTAACAAAAATGACACAGAATTTTAAAACATGATAGAAAATTAACAATGGTTTTCACATTGTATATTATCTTCAAAGTAGTTGCTCAAGTCTGAGATACAGTCATGCAAAATTGATCGATTGCATATTAATTGTTGCTTTGAATAAACCAATAGAAATTATTAGTACAATTATCTTAGCTATCTTGTGTGTATATATATGTGTGTGTATTTATATTTATATTTTTCTCCCTTTTCAGAAGAAACTTTTTAAAAAAAGTTTTTAGTTATAACTTTATTTTAGGTTCTCAACAAATAGTAGTGGGCCAGGAATTTAAATCAGTAGTGCAGTGCCTGCTTGGCAAATGTGAGGTCCTAAGTTCAATTTCCAGTACCAAAAAAAAAAAAAAAAAAATCCCAAATACTTTTGGTGTTTACTTTAGGTGTTTGTTAGTTGGTTTGTTTCATTGTTGGGTATTAAACCCAGGTGCACTGTGCTACTGAGCTGCACCCCCAGCCCCTGTTTATTTTCTTTTATTTTGAGAGGTTCTCGTTGAGTTGTCCAGGCGGGCTTTGAACTTGCAGTCCTCCTGCCCGAGCCACCGGAATAGCTCAGGTTGCAGGGTTGGGCCACTACACCCAGCTAATACAGCTTCTACAAACAAAAAATTATTGTCATACTGGTTTTGTGGAGAATGCATTTCTTTCTCACAGAAGCATTTCCTTTCCAAAGAAGGCTGAATGAGGTTGCTGCAGAAGTATTTGATTTTGATACCCCACCCCTCACCACGGTGACCTGAATATCCCTGACTATACGTAGAAACTTGACCTTTAAACTTTTGCCTTAGCTGGACACCTGTGCTGACCAAAAGCAATTTGTCTTTTAACTGATTTGTCTTTTAACTTAAATTCATTAAATCAAAGACAATTATTTCTTAAGCTTATTGAAATGCAAATTATTAGAATCCTCCACAAAAAAGTCTGATAGCTTTCTCAGTCATACTGATATCTCCACCTAAACAATGTGTTTGTAAAATCCATTGCATAGAAAATAATGGCACTTTCCCTTTACATGAACTGATTACATGCTGATTCTTTCCTTTCAGATTTAGAAATAGTGGGATTTATTGACATAGCTGATATTTCAAGTCCTCCAGTTCTGTCCAGACATCTGGTCCTACCTATAGCACTTAACAAAGGTAAGTTGTCTTTCTGTACCACTGATCCACATGAAGCATCATATTAACTAGAGCTATTCTGAAATGTTGGATAGGAAGGTGGCCTGTTTTGCAGACTCTAAAGAAAAGGAATAGTTCCTGCATTGGATTTGAGAAAATGAATGTTGCCTAATATTCCAGAAAATAAATTATACTGCTTCACACTCTGGAAATTCTGCCCACCTATATAATTGCCAAGAAAGAAAATGAGCAAAGTTAAGTAGGTATGGAGAGGAAAGTACAGAGGAACTATGAGAGCCACAATCAGGCCGTGCTGTGTGGAGTGCTGCTACCAAGCTAACCTGGACAGAGTCTTCCTGCTGAAGTAGAAAGTCCTTGAACAAGACTGAACGCACTGGTGTTCTTGGAAGGGAGTAGTTGTAGGAAGTCATGTGTCAGCAGGGTGTGAGAAAACCTGGCATTTGGCTCCAGTCAAGACACTTGCGGTGTGATCACTGTGCACGCTTGGGTCTGGCGTCCCAAAGGCATGAGCATCAGCAGTTTTCAACACTATCTATATGAGTGCCTGAAACCTCCTGCGGACATCTAACCAGTCTTCTTATAAATTCAGAGGCTGATTTTTTTTTTT